GGTGTAGAAGTCGTGAACTTCGACGCCGCTTTTAGGCCGATAGCAACGAGACTTGTTCGCGAGTCCAACTTGGGCGCAAGAGAACGGTTGGAGTGTATCTGAGGCGCAGCCTTCCCCGTCTTTGCTTCGACAACCCACGTCTTGCACTTCTCCCCAATGTCCCCGCCACAAAAGCCGCACGTGTTGCGCTGCCGTCGGTCCTGTGGGAGCGGCAGTACCATCAACAGAAACACATTCAAAACAAAACGTTGTCATCGTTCCTGCAGGTACGTCCAACTTGGAATATTTGGCAGTCCTTTGAACTCACAGAAACACAAACAAAGTGCACTTGCTTGCGAGCGTCGTACCTTATCCTGAAGGATGTGTCCCCCCATGTGCTGCAGCAGCAGTTTCGCGGGCACCTCCGAGAAACACAGCGGGCACTCCACTTTCCCACCCACATCCACAGAAGCTGCCGGAACGTCCTCCGCCCCGAGAGCCCCGCCCGCCATGCAAGTGAGGTTGTCATGAAGAGGAAGAGGGGTGACTTGGTTGCGTGGTGGTGGTCGCACGTCAGGAACCGCCGCCCAGCCTTTTACCCTTTCCACTTCAGCTTGAAGCACGTGCTTTGTGGTGATCAACTCGTCCATGCTGAACACGTACGTCTGCTTGCCCATCTCCAACGTCGGGGCCAGTTCCTCGACAAGGGCAAGAGAGCAGCTGTAAGTAGTCGCTGCGTGCAGCTTTCGGTCCTCCCACTCAAACGTCGAACCATCGCCGTCACCTCCGACCAGCCTCATCCTCATTAGCTGCCCTTTGACCACCTGACCATCTGCGGCCTCGCCGCCAGCTGCTGGTGGCGCAGATACGACTAGAACCCCGACACAGTAGCTCGCGGGTTGGTGACGTCCTGCGCGAAGCCTGAAGAGCGCCGCAAACGGGGAGCCGACCTGCAACGCTGTGGCCGAGTCATCCAAGCAAGTGCTACCCTCGGCCAGGCGTGCGCCTGCCGGCGTCGTGAACGCCCGCACACGTGCGAGCCGATCTCTGGAGGCCTTGCCGGCGTGAGGCCCAGTATACTCTTTAACCGCGGAGGCCTTGAAGATATATCATTAACGAAAAAAAACACCGAAAGATACGCGCCGTGGCCGACAACAGCAGGGCACGTGTAAAATAGAGTTCGGGATCAGGTTTGCTTGCAGCTGCGTGTACTGCAACGGTGCATTATTGACTATTCCAACAAGTTGATTCCAACCAAGTTCTACGTTAGACATAATTTGCTTCAGTCAATCGACAAAGCACGCCTTAACACGTTGTGTGCAAGATGGTTGGTGGTGCGGTCACATGGTGTTCACTGGGCGAATATTTGTTGCTTGGCCAAGTTTGGAAAAGAAAAGTCCCTCGCACCTTCTTCGCGCCCACTTGCACAAATGGGCTGTGGGTAGAAGAGCTTGACTCTTCTCCCTCCGTGTCCAGCACCTCTCGGAGTTCAGCGTTGTCGGAGTCCCCGCCACCGTCACTTGGCGATGCTGCCTGGCCGACGACACGCTCCTCCTCGTCACATGCGTCGGTGCCGTCTTCGGCCCGCACGCCAGGCATTTCTTTGTTGGTTCTGGAGGGGGGGTGCGGGAATGGTGGGCAGTTGCATTCAGAACAGTGTGACAAGTATCCGCGACCCTTGATAAACACCAATTGTTAGCAGGCAGAACGTAGACCGCTGACGTTGTTGGAACAAGTCTTGAAACACGGCATGTATTTGTGGTTCCACCTTCTCACGAAACCTAAACTGGCCGCCAAAAACCCTCTACGCCCGAGAAGGCGACGGACGGAATAGAGCCAAATTATAACCAACCGAAGTACGGGAGTACTTACCCGAACGGAAAGAACATGGTGATCCCCTTATCCTTGAAGTCGTCGAACGTGGCCTGTGATACGCCGGTGTACTCCTGTTCTCGCTACTTTAGTCTTACTGGAGTATGTGCCATGTCTCACCATGTCTCACACATGCACGCCGAATCTCCAGTGGTGTGATTTGTGGTAACAACTGACTGAGTGTTGCTGCTGCTGCTGTTGAAGTTATTGGGTATCGATAAAACAACCAGTCGCGTGCGTCATCACATAGTCGTGGCTCGTTGCAGTCACTGCTACGGCCTCGCACCCCCAATACTCCTTCCCGCCGTAGTCCTGCGCGGCGTTGGCCTGCCCCGTTCAAGATGAGATGACAGGGTACGGAGACGCGGAGCGAAGGGACGGGTGGCGGGGGAATATGTGAGGTTGCGGCGGGTTTCGTGCCGCTTCGCACAAAAGCACACGCGCAATGGGCTTGTAGCGCTGTACAAGTGTGCGCAAGGAAGGGCAAGGAAGGGCAAGGAAGGGCAAGGAAGGGAGCGTACAGGGGATAGAGAAACTCTCCATCGCATCGCGCTCCCGTGCTAAACACATCCAGAGATAAACGGGGGAAGCGAGATCGCGGGAGAGAAGACGCCCAGACACCATCAACCCGATCCACGATCCACCCGCCAATCGTCATGCACCGCTCTCGGGTAGGGATGGACGCTCAGAAACCAGGGCTCGCCAGGGAACTGCACAAGGTCAGAGAAGGCATCGCCCCCATGCCGTACTGAATGTACTTTGCGTGCCGTCTTCTATGTTTGTGCCTCCCGCCTGCGCCCCATCTAGACCTCTAGCCGGGCGTACAAGCAGGTACATGTAGAATGGTCGTCTGTTGACATTGCCGGGGTCCGCACATACATTCACACGGAGGAGGAGCCTGCTGTAAAACTCTTACATTGGGTTGCTGTGTACAAGTAGAGCAACAATACATGTACTACCGCAAATTTCTGTTTTTTGCATAACTCCCATAACCTAGATTCCTTGTTTGTACGCACAATGGAATGTATGTACATACAAGGTTTTGGGCGCTGCGCGCCCCCGCTTTATTTGAAGCGATTCCAAGGCAATGCTTTCTCTGAAAGTGGGTGTAGGATGTTGTTAAAATGAAGATAGGCACCGATGGCAGTTAAAGTTTAAAATTTCCGTGCAGGTGGAGTTCCCATGATGGAGGTTCGTGTGTGATTTAAGGAGATGTAAAGGTCAATTACTTGTTTCCCATCGCCGTGCCCAGTACCCCTCCATCATCTGATACACATCCAGAACTCACAACTGCAAAAAATGGACAAAATTGTCGGCTGAACTGCGAATGAAGAAAGGCAGCTCTACTTGAACTAACTGCAAAAAAAGAATAGCACTACCATGGAGTCGAAGACTACAGAAGGAGTGCGAAAAACTGTAGCCGGAGTAGCTACAGAGGAGTGGCAGGAGTGGGCCGGGGTAGCCATCGAGAGTGGAAGTAGAAAGGAGTGTATATTCGTATTTTCCGGACCTTTAGAAGGGATTATCCGAACCGGAGCACACAACACCGTTGCCGGAATCGGAACAAACATCAGACCATTCCGACGCGAGAGCGGTGAAAAGAGAAACGAAAATATTTAAAGACAACGTGGATACACAGACAGACACACACACACCGAGAGGAGAGAGAGAGAGAATACGGTACCAAGGTGATAGGAGGTGAGTGCATACCGTGTGAAGGTGCTTGAAGAAAAACAAAATGCACATACCGTGCGAAGGTGTTGGAAGAAAAAAAATATATATATACATCAGTAGCACACGGAATCGGAACAAACAACAGACCATTCCGACGCGAGAGCGTTCAAGAGAGAAGGCGAAAATGAAAAGATAATGTGGATAGACAGACCGTCAGAGACATAGAGAGACGGACGAACGGAGGAAAAGGAGGCACACACAGAGAGGGCCGTACTTCGAGTGGAATGCGTGGTATGATGGTACAGAGCAGGGTGACAGCACAGCAGGCGAGAGAGATAAAAGCGGAAGATAAAAGTGGAAAGTCCACCAACGTGTCAAATTTCCAGAGGAAATGCTGCTCTGTGAGAGCCCGAGAAGACCGGAATAGAGCGCTCACAGAAGCCGAAAGAAGCGAAATGAAGCGCTCTCAGAGAAAACTTAAATTGTAAGAAGACTACAGTAGTCACCTGTAATACATTACAACAGCAGAGCAGCACAGCCGTATACAGTCTATGGAACTCCTGTACTGTATCGCGCCTAGACTTCACAGACTAATCATCTCCATCCAATACTTGTAGGTCTAGTCGACATCAACACCTTTTGGCAAGACTTGTAACGTGCCATACGAATTATTCGAGTGATGATGTGGTTCCGGCCGATGGAGTCTGGGGAATCGCTTGGGTTTATTGGTACAGAAAGGACCCGGAGATAAGAAACGTCGAAATCGGATCGAGCCTCAATTTCATATTCTGGGCAGAAGGACCAGCCGAAGTCGGCCAATTTCGTTTGGAAGAATTTCTTTTTCCTTCGGGCTGTCGCATCGTGCGGATTATTTTTTCTTCGTGTTTCTTCTTTATTGCGAAGAAAACAACAACACACCAAGCCTCCATACAGCATTGAACCGACAGCTCGGTGTGGCGAACATTGGGGTTGTGGCAGTCCAGCAGCAGTGGGTAGCGCAGCCCGCGGCCGCTCTGGGGCGCGGCGGGCGCCGCGAAAGCAACCCTCTCCCCCCCTTCCAAAAATTACATGACATATGCCTTTACAGGTAGGGGTGGGAGCCCGGCAGCAGCAGCAGCAGCGCGAGACAATTCTTAATAGACACGCTCCCACAGGTTGTATACCCCTTGTTTTTTTTGTTTTGGGGTATCGCACGATCGATAATGTTTCTTATTTGGACGTTTCTAATGTTGTAGTCGAGATTGAGCTGAGTTTCGTAGCCCTTTCTTCTTATTTTCCGTACACATTTGAACCTTTTTCTTAACATAATTTGTCTTAGTTTCGGGCCCTGTCTGTATTCGACATCACTGGCTCCGCCTTCCTGCCTTTCCCAGGCAAAGTTTCGAGCTCATCATGAGAAACGCCTGGAGGAGATCAGCAGGAGGCCCCCCGGGACGGGTACCTTGGACAATATGCGCCCGTATACCACGCATCTCATGCACCTCAAGACGCGGCCCAAGAAAATGGCTATCCTGGCCTCCAGAGATGCTCAAGTTGAGAGGGCCAACAGGTACGCTCATGATTTTTCGTTCCATTCTTCGTAGCATTTTTTTGGCTGGTAGCCTACTGTACACGCTGGCTGTGAAATGAAATAGGACTTCCGCGAATCAACTTGGGACATTCCGCATTGTGGCGGAAGTCGAGTATTTCTTTCTGTCAAAGAGTTTGGCGAGACTCTCGCCACGTCTGCAGGTTAACTACCCTTTGTTTAACCGTCGCCCCACAATCTGGGAGGCTTTCTCATACATGAGGCGGTTGATGCAGTTCGTGGTACAGTTCCACTCTTACCATCTGCTCTCCCACATCAACAACCCTAGGGCAATCCTCACCTTGACAATCGGAGGGCAAAGTGTCACCCGCTCCATCACGTTCGGATCGGAGAGAGCTGAAGCCTTCCACTACCCATAGTCGCACTACCCACAGTCCCATCCATCAGACCCTTTCCAATCGCGGAACGCCTCACTACACCGCCTTGGGGTACTCCACAGTTTCACGCAGAGATCGACATGATCGGCAAGAGTATCGAGGATACGTATCCCTTGTAGCAGATGATTGATACATGTCCGGAACGTACCTGCCTCGCACGCACACATACCCTCGTCTTTGCAATGCAAATAGTTCCTCGCAGAACTAAAAATCTCATCAGTGTTTCCAAACCGGGCCTGAGGACCCCTGCGCAGCTACGTGCACCAGACGGTGTTCCCAACACGTACTGTTCGAAAATCTTCCCGTTTTACCACCCGCTAATTCAACCACCCCGCACCCCCCGACTACGAACGCACTACAAACGGCATCCGTCAAAAGAGATCTGTTGAGGCAGATGACGAGGATATTCACCACCCCGTCGGCCCTACTGCCGGTCCACGATTCCGCCGACGGGGGCAGTCGAGGGGAGGGTCTCGGGCGGTGCCTCAGCATCAACGTTCTCTGTAGAAAACGAGAACTCGAGCGAATCGCGATGGAAAACAAGACTTGGGTGAGTCGGCCCTACTGACCTCTGGGATCTCAGCAGTGGCGAGTGTGGGCTTTCCTCAGTTGAGGTCCCGATATAGTGCATTTGTGTGCCCTGCGAGGTTTGGCCGGTACTATATCAGACACTGGTACTACTAAAAGCACGAAATTACTTGGTGGCTAAGTCTGTGCCCGCGGCACTAGACACCGGGCACCGGCACTACTCGAGCGGCACCATATCGGGACTCATGCTGGCGTAGCTCTCTGCTGTGGAGCACGCGAAAAGGGCCCAGCTCAACGACGGTTCTATGGGCAATGGGCAATGTTTGAGGCAAAGGTTAAGATTTTCCCATCGAAACATATTGGAGAGATTCGCGTTGGTAGTCCTGCACCGTCGGCAAGACGCTCCCAGGTTTTGGCCTTTGCTGCATTCGTGCTTATCTCCTCTCCTCTTTTGGATGTTCTCTTACATGTGTTTAGCCCCCCCCACTCCACCCCCTGTCAACATGCCAAGCACAGAACATTAATCAAAGTATGAAAAACACCGTAGGTGAACATGTGTCTGCTCCAGGAATAGCATATTGATGTGCGTCTCAAGACGGACGAGTTGTATTCGTCCCTCCCTCCGCTCTACCCAAATGGGCACACCTCGGCGGTTCGCCCATGATATATCGGCGGTTCGCGCGTGGTACCGGGCAATCTCCACGGGACCCTTCCTTCCCGAAGGTGAAGCACATGGAAAAGGTATCTCCGAGCTACAACGCGGCAGCATGGGAGAGGGATTGGCTAGAAAGGAAGAGGATTATTGAGCGCCTGAGAACGGTGAGGTGGTGGCCTGGGTACTGGGTGTGATCGACTCAATCTGGAAAGTATCCAACACTATGTATCACGACACATTTCCTTCTTTGTACAAGCACCAAGGTTGTATTATTCTTTCCTTGTTTGTGTTGTCCTTTTTGTTGTTGAGTTTGCCGTGTACAGTGTTGGGTTGGCTTACTCTGTTACTCACGGCGATGACTGGTTGATGGTGGATGCGTCTACGGCGAGTACGTTATTCTTGGACCATGTGATGGCCTCCTTTCAATCTTTGAGCGTGAGGGCCACCTCAATCACAACAAAGAGCTTCAAAACGCTGCATTGTGCAACGTTCGGCCGGTACGTGAGACTTTGTGTCTACTCCGTACGAACGCAAAAAAATCGGCATTGCCGTGTTGCTGGCGCCACCGTAGACGCTTTGCCCATTGGAAGCGCCAATGGTTTGTCCGCTATGTTCGTACACTTTCAACTTTCACACGCTTTTCTTGTTCAAGGTCCGGTACGAGAGGGCAAAGGCTACGCCGGAGGAGTTTAGCCGAAGGGGCGTGACACACCTTAGAAAGCAGGTAAGAATAGCGGCGTAAGATGACACACCTGACAGATTTCTTACTTATCATGCCGAGGGAGTGTCATTCGGGGACGGGAGCCAAGTGCGGATCATGCCATGTTCGGTCGATGTTCACTAGAGAAAATCCGTCGCTCCTGTTGAGAAGGAAAGGTGTGGATCTCACAGGAAGGCAACGGACGGACGTGGTTTTGGGTTTTTCGTTCTACCGAAACAGAAACGAACGGGTTGATGGTCGCACGATAAGGAATACATGGCAAATAAGGTTAGAGGGAATCAAACACGGAAGGCCCACTGGGGACTGCCACCGTGTGAAGATATAATTGTTTGCTTTACACCATGTGCGGTTCGGCGTCTCGTGGTTCATCTGGCACCATGCCCCCTGGATGCGTATCAGGTGCAACGAACCCGAGGCCAAGCGTTCGAGGCAGGCTATTCACCAGTACCTCGCCTCTTTGGCTCGGCCCGTAGCAAGAACCGAGGTCATAGCGGGAAAAGCAGCAATGGCGGCGGAAGAAGCGTCGGACCTCATCGGAACCGCCAGACTACGAAACGAAAATGTTTCTCCTCTTCGTCGCGGTCAAACCGAGGAAAGAGACCCCTTCATGGACATGGACGGGACGCACGAGGTGGGGTGCTTGTCCGAAGTGGGTCCGAGCGCAGAGCGAGAGCGGGTTCGAAGCACGAGAAAAAGCTAGTCAAGAGGGTAAGGCGTCGCTGCCAAACATACATGTACCAGGTTGAATAGAAGCTATCCAGGAGAGACTCTGGGCAGTTGAAAGCTTTGAACAAGATAAACATGAGTTTATTTCGACAGCTACACACGACCACCGCAAAAAAAGTGCAACAACGGCCGGTGTTCCTTCAACACCAACTGGCAATTACCATCAGCTCTATCACTACCATTTAAGCTTATCCAAGAGATGACAAAGATGTCACTTACCAACACCAGAAACGAGCAACACAAACATCGTGAGGCAAGAACCGGTACATATTCTTCACACAACTTTCGCCAAACCACGTTCCCTTTCTTAGGCCGCGTCTGAGTCATCGATGGTGAGCAGTGGGGACATCGGGAGGGAAGAGAAGACGAGTTGTCATTGTCCCCCACCCTTAGAAGATAGGGACAACGGCCAAGATGGCGATCACCTTCCGATTAGCGTATCAGTCCGTGCTGCAACACGCGGAGCTGAAGCGGAAGCATCTGGTGGGATCCAGGAGCACCATGAAAAGACGGCTGCAGCAGCGGCGGTGACATCGGAAGGGGGTGGTATAGGTGATGGTGGTTGCGATGGTGGCGACAATGGTCGAGGTGGGTCGCAGTCCGACTACAGTGAATTTGCAGGTGGACAAGGCGACGAAGAGGAACAGTACAGCGAATTCGACGAAGAGCAGGTGAACATCAATGCCTTGCTGGAATATTCCAGTGTTGTTGCAATACTTGACGCTGCTACAAAGCGCTACAGCGAGACTGGTCTTCGCCCGCCTCCGATTGACGAAACGTGGGAAGCCTGTAGTACGATCAGGGTGCCAAAGGCATTCTGCAATAAGAGCTTATCGAATCGTCCTGGTTCTCCTTGACCACTGCAGATAGACATTGTGGTATATCCCGGGATCAGGACAACGGAGGCAAGGGCCCGTGCCAAAACGTCACACTGACGGGGTCTCTAGACACGCAATAACATGATCATTGCGCTTCAAGAACTTTGTACAAGATCACTCATCCACCGAACAGAATCAACGGTCTTTCGGTCTTTTATTCTTGTTCCGCCGAGAGCCGGACTCACTTGGTGTTGATGGGGACGTGCAATCAGAAGTTCAACAAGCTTCAAACACTTTGTACGCTATCGTCCACCGAATAGAACCAAGGGATTTTCAACTCGTTAAGCAGGATCTGGGCCCGTTTCGACCCCAAGGGGTTCGGTAGTTGATTCTCAACATGAGGGCTGCATCCGCCTTACGAGGCTAGATGCATAGCACTCTTCTCACGCACACCTCTGCAGACCGGTCTTTCCCACCCGTCATTGCAGTCGCGGCGTAAGCTCTTGGTTTCAACGAGTCACCTCGAACGACAACGCAGACACCAGTGGTAGCTCTCGAAACTCAATCTTGTGATTGATCGACAAGGTTTCGTCAACACGGGTCCAAACGATGGCTGCCAGATTGATCCTGATATTCCGTCGTCCCTCGCCCCGCCCCCCCCCGGTATCTAATCGATAAAATTAGACCATCCGGCTAGTCAGCGCTGACTAGCCGGATGGTCTAATTTTATCGATTAGTATCTTCCTCCCTTGGCGCAGAGGAGTAGGACTCGCTAGCCAGCTTTCACTATTTCGCAACATCAACAGAGCCGCTTGCCGTTCCCGTGATCTCTACCGAGAAATCTGCTGCTCATTGTTGCTTGGTTGGCAGTAGGAAGGGACCGCAAATGAATGATCATGCGAACACCTTCTCAATAGAGCGCTTTCGCCCGCCAAGCAGGAAGAGAGAAGGGAGGAGAAGGAGGAACAGGAACAGGATGGACAGTACAGCGAGTTTGGAGACGGATCTAGCACACGCGAAACAGTCGTACAGCCGGGCGAGGCCGAAAGCCGCAGCAGCGAAGTTGAAGATGTCCGCCAGGAACAGCGTTTAGGCGATGGGCTTGAAAATGAAGGAGAGAAGCAGGATACCAGGGGGGGGAGTGCGGGAGAAGCTAAGGCAGGTCTGGACGAGAATGACTGCAGCAGAGGGCAAACTGAAGACCCCAATGGCAGTACTGAAACACGTTGTTCGCCGGAACTTCAACTGGAGTCGGCTCCTGTTGCACTTGAAAACAGGTTGGATCAGAACGACACCAGCGTCACTGAAACAGCTTCAGGGGCGAAAAGGATAGAACCAGAGAGAATCGAGGGTCCGGAGCAGCAACAGCAGGAGCAACAGCAGAATGGACTATCTGTCACCAAGGCCCAAGAGGGCGAGGTGGAAACTAAGTGTGACGGACGCGACGGTGGCCGAGGAAGCATGCGCACTGGAGAGGATTCAGAATTGTCGGCTGACAATGGGTACCGGAGCGAGAGCTTCGACGGTGATGGGTATACCACGGTGAGGAAACACCGAACCTGCCTTGAACTCGAAACCAATCAAAGCAACAACAACTCAACCCTTAGCACGTCGTACGAAATTCGCGCTCGAAGTCCCTACCGGCCGACCCACGGGAAGAGTGGTACGTTGTCACGTGTGGCAAGGAAGGAACGTTATAGTCAGAGGAGAATATATGTTCAAGTCGCGGTGACAAAAAATACGGCGGAGGACACAATTGCACGCCACAGAAGAGAGGGGCGCCCTTAGTTTCAAAAACAATCGAGCCGTAGTACGATGAAGTAAAGACCTGCTGACATCGGGGACGCGAACATGACGTCTCCGGGTTGAACAACGTATCTTGCATCTATCTGAGAAAAACTAAATTTCTGTCTTATTTTTCGAGTTAAGGCCAACCAAAATGCAAGAAACTAAGTGATATTTCGTCTAAGTTTCGTGCCAGCGCCTGTATTCAAGCAAGGATCGCAATACTGTACGTTTCGCGACAGACCACCCTGGAGTATCATTCTTGGAAGAAGCTAATTTAGCGATTTGCTGCCGAATGTTTGAAAAAACCGTTCATCAAGAATGCTTTCCAGAGGACAACATCCTGTCCCTCTCTCCTTCAACGGATCGTGGTTGACCAACGGCTCCACATCGCGGCTCGAAAATTCCTAAGCAAATCCCCGCTAATCTCTCTAAATGGTCCTCTCGATCCTTTCATCTCGCCCTCCCCCGCTTGTTCTGAACTTCAATGATCCCGCAACGCAAACAGGACTCCGGCGTGTCCGGTCCGGTGCCAGAGGCACCATCAACCACGCAGAAGGCGGGGATGTCGCCTGCTAGTAGCGTTGAACCCCCGAACACGGCAACAGCCTCTTCTGCTTCAACGGACTTGCGTTCTGCTGCTACACCGGATGGCGACAATAGCGACGACTCCTGCTCTTCACCACCCCCGCTGGGCACTTCGCCGCTCCTGGTGGAAGACCGATCACAACCGGGGGGGAATCCAACGATACCTCTGGACCCTCCACAGCCACAGGAAGATCCACCATCACTCCTAGTGAGCCCGCAGCCGATGTCTGTCGCGTCTTCGTGTCTTGATATTTCGCCGGAAACGCTGCAAGACCCACCAGGGCTTGATGACCCCCCACCTCTGCCTGCCAACAGCTCGTCACCGTCGTCACCATCATCGCTCCCAGAAGATTCTGGGGGCGATAATAGTTTTGCTGATGTTGATGTCGTCGACCTTCAACCCGATATCCCGCTCAGTAACTCCGATATGGAATGCGAACCGGGAGCCCACGACCATGTTGGCGCTGCCATCCCAGATGCCGACACGGACGCGGGCTTGGTGGTGTTGGCGAGGGGAGACAATCTGCCAGGGGTTCACTCCGCTTCGGATTGCTCTAGTACCACCAACATCGAGGACAGTGCTCCAACAAATTTGGCGGGTGCCTCCCGTACGCTTGCTTTTTCCGAGGAGTGCGCGAGTACCGATGCGGCTGCCAATAAGGGCCTTTCTGGCGGTGCGTCTACGGCAGAGGGTGTGTCAAGCAGTGGTGTCAACGGCGACGGCATCGAGAGTCCCGTGTGCGGAACGACCGTGACACCAGCTGCAGCGAACGAACATTACGAGGAGCGCAACGAAATGGTTGGGACGGGCGGTTGGAGTATGGTGCCTGATGCATTGCCGCCATCCAGTTACATGGAGCAAGTTTCCCTCGTGGAAAGTCCGGAAAATATCATGGAAAACACCTCCCAGGAGGCGTCTATGAACGACGATTCAGCAACGACAGGGCCATTGGCGCAACAAGGGGGCTTGCAACAGCCAACAACAGCCAATGGTTTGCAAGCGCAAGACTCTTCACAGAGAGTCGGGGAAGACTCGTTCGAATCAAATATCACCTTGAAGTCAATGCACGATTCAAATGAAAATTCCGATCCCGCCACAACGGCTACTGTAGTGTCTGGAGAAGAGGAGGATAGCAGATACGCTGCAGCTGGCATCAACGTCGAAGAATCTGACAAAGCGAACGAACAGTCCGTTGGTGAACATGGGAATGAGACAAACGAAGGGGAGCCAGAAGCCGTGCGAGAACCAGCCGCCGAGGCAAAAGAACCCTCTGGCAACGGGACCACGGACATAGATCCCATTGACGATGGCGTCAATTCCCCTGAAGAGGCTGCAACTGGTTTTGATGCTGCTGCGTTTGGTATCGCCGTTCCTCATGCCGCTGTCAAAGAAGTGCAGGAGTTTGTTATCGCCACGGACGAGGCCATTGCAAGTGGTGCAGGTTCGGGCGAGAGTGTCTCCCCGACCTCAGACAGTGCAGATGGTGCTGTGAATGAGGCTTCCACCGGGCGAGAAAGCGCGGCGAACGAAGCAACCGTTGGTCCTGTGTCGTCTGGAAGGACCAACGAACATGACGGTCCTGATCATTCGGTGTCTGTGGGGCATGATGAGCCTTCAACAGTTGGCAGAGAGATGGCGGTAGCTTCGTTGGACGACGATACCGCATTGGGGCCAAACGAAAACAAGACAGGGGAGCCCGTTGAAATCCCCGAGGCAATAGGAGGGGAATCGGAAGGCCACCAGGGAATAAGCACTGACGGGGCGGACGGAAACAGCGTTTACGACGAGGTGTTTGAGGAGATGAGTAGCAGTACCGAACAAGCCGCCGAGGCGGTGAGCGGTCTGGACGGATGTGCGACGACGAGCACTGCCGAGACTGGTAATGTCGTCGCGTCTCTGGTTTCCCCAGGAAAAGAAGACCCCGCTGGTGCTTCTGGGGGGGGCGATGCTGGGGAGCCGCCTCTTGCACCCACCGATCGAGTGGGAGAATCCACGAGACTAAGTCAAAACGACAGCCGGGGGGGGTAACGCTAGTATTGCCCGCCATTGTCTAACATGTGCAACAACATCTGGCACCTGTCTTACGGTAGCGAAACGCTCCCTACAGGTGTCCCAGCCGAATGGCATGTGTCGAAGCGCTTGGGAGCTGGCTATGATCATGAGTCGGGAGGCGAAGAAACAATGGTATATAGTCTGGACTTTTGCTGTGGTCATTACCAAAGTAATGTCCGTTGCGGTCACATGAAATGAAGGCCTTTTGCCGAAAACACGTTCGATACTGGAATAATTTCTCCGTGTGTCTTTAGCCGGCATGCAATGCCCATATTTTGAGGAGTGTATGCGTCGGAGTTTTCCCACAAGGACGTCTTTGATATCACGGCCGTCTCTTGCTCTTGTAGATTGCGATATCCCGCTAGGGTTAGCCGGTGGACGTGCCGGTCATGTGTATTGGAGGGGGTGGTTCTGGTCCCCCCCCCAGCTACATGCACCGTAACACCGTGTGCTGGAAGGTAGGGATATGTATCTTGATTCGCATCAAGCTTTTCCGCAGACCCTGTGAAACGTCTACAAACTAGACTTGACAAAGTTGAAATGTTTCAAGTATTTTGTTGGCCTTGGATGCCAGTGACGGAGGCGTTGCGGTGTTTTGTCTGTGGTTTCGAGGCACGATTGGTAGTGGTAACACAGCGACACTTTGTGGATTGCAAAGGTAGAGTCCTGTGGCGCTTGCTGCGTGGAGTCCAACCTAACGGTATCCCCGGGATTGTCAGGTGGGCATTACCCGCGTATCCATTCGTCAGGCTCCAAGAAATTAACGTCATCTAGACCACTGCTGGGTGGGCATATATACGAGGGATGACATACAGAAAGTGCCCGACGTTTTGAGCCAATGAGTGTGCTGTGTCACGATTCAAGTCAATAGAGCGAAAAATACCTTGCATGTCCTTCCAAACCCAAACATGACCAACCCGGTCGCGGGGCGCTAGCCAAGAAACAGTCCGCATCGCATTGAAAAAGCTTAATGTATTGGCGTAATCTGGGTTAGCTTGCGCGAGAACGAGAGCGTACACCCACTGAGCAGCATCTACAAGGAGACACCGTCCCGTTGAGTGTTGGACCGATACGAAAGCAGGTCGACCAGGCAACCGTCGTTATAATGCAAAATCATCGAAAATATGAGATGTCCTCCCGGCTCAAGTTACGACACCCCATCGCCTGATCCAGCTCTTGTGCAGAATGAACCTTGAGATGGGCGGGAACGAAACGACGGAACGGAGCCGTCGCTTCATTCCCCCGTCTCCGGCTTCTCCACTCCGTGGCTACGTGGTTGTTGAGGCTCTTCATGGAAGATGGCCAATTTCCGCGCAATTTTTGATGTCTATGATGATTCCATCGTTGGCTGTGGCCCCGCTGTCGGGGTTATCGTTGCCCGAGCTGCTTCCAGCGCTGAGATAGACCACGTCTCCTCATGACGAGATATCAAACCGTCAGAATCGAGCGTGTACAGAGTCGTTCCGGTGTACGGCTTCACGTATGGGTGCCAGGGGAACTTCAGGTAACCTTGAAGTTGCCACTCCGCGAAAATATGGTTGTCATCCTGAACAAACGCGAAACGTGTGTATTGATTAACACCAAAGTCATCGAAAGGTGTGCCTATTTCAGCAGAGAGGTGTTTGAGAGCGAAGCGCTCCGGTATGCGACTATGCAGATATACGCCGAAGCGTGGTTAGAGCTCATTTTGGGAGATCCGGGGTCGCAGGTACACTCCGCATGAGTCCAGCTTGATCAACTACCTGCTCTTGCAACGTGCGCAGTCCGCGTCGCGACTGTCTGCCTATACAGCACTGTACTGGTGTCTCCACTGCTCACCTTTACTGCCAAGGAGAGTAGATCGACCTGGGCGTTGTCAGGGTCGAACAGAAGCTTGACCGCCGCCGTGTATCTCTCGACGCTTTCAACTCTACCGAATACAAATCGACAGCAATGGCCGGACAAACAGGGGCAAACATATTGCGTGCAAGGATTCAACTGAGTTACCCGCGAGAATCTGCGCTTGGCTCGCGGTGGTTGCTACAGAAGACTTTGTGCCACCCCACCGTCACGAAAGCACGACAACAAAACATGTAAACAATCCATGGCCAAGAAAGGATACCAAATTGTCGTTGACACAAGGTGAGTCCTAGTCCTAACCCTACCAGTGAAAAGGCCACCTTGGGGCGCAACAGAGCACTGCGGGCATCAGGCGATACCATCCTGAGAACCTCGGAACCATAACTGCGAATCTGCGATCGTTCTCAAATTCACCTGGTGGTAGGATCGGTGAAGAGGCAGTCAGGCCGGTAGAGAGACGGAGTCAAATCACCAGTAACGTAGTACCGCCTGCATGTAGACCGGCAACCGTTCGTAGGGGTGTCAGAAGTTCAACACAACAGATCCCGTCTCAAGTTCGCGTACCCACTACCAAGGAGGAGCAATCGTATCAAAGGTCACAGGGTACAGAAAGAGATGTAGCCTACCCTCCGTGCAATGTGTCTCACCAGATTGCTTGCGAGGGGGGGAAGCATTACATGATGGCAGAAAACAGGTTGTATGTAGAAGGATATGCCAAACCCTTACACGTTAATGTGCTGAACTCCTGCTGAACGTAAATGGGGGACTGGGCTCAGGGAGGGTGGTGGAGGTCCAGGAGCTCGTTGGCCAACGCCCTGGAAAGAGAAGGTCAAATCATGTCGCTTGCGACACCGTTGTCGCACATTGTACCTCCCTGAGAACCTTGGGGACACAGGGAAGGTACAGTAGTACCGACGCATTTCCAGAGGTACTTACGACACCGGTAGCTCGAACTGCTGATACACGTTCGCTCATGTGATGTTTGCATGTGATGTTTCGTGTACATAGACAATGCAACAAAATAATTGAAGTATGCAAACAACAACCTAATGTGTAGTCCATAGTAGTCTGGAGTCTATGGTGGACCTACTGCTGTTGTATGCCTTCATGTTCGAGTTGAAACGCTTCTTGATCTTGGACAGTACCATCGTAGCGTTAGTAACAAGCATCGCCCTCACCCAAACTTTCAGCAATGTACATTTTGCATTGCTGGGGGCGCACTCTACAATTTTAGTTCACTCAGACCTTTGAGACTGACTGCAATGTCTAGGTTTTGTACATCACCTGCAACAGTTACGCACTGACTGACTGAGCAGCGTTTCCAAGGACACGGGGCACAATTAATTTCATCGATATATGAGGGAAGATCACCACAGCACTTGGGTTGCACCTTGAAAGAAAGTCTCCCTCAATCCCCTTCTTCACTTCCTCCACTCCCCGAGCTGTCGCGCCAAAGCTCGGTGGCGTTCCCCCTGCTGCTGCTGCTGCTGCTGCCACTGCTGCTGCTCCAGCCACATGGTTCAAAAATGCTCGCCTACTAGACGTGACATGACTGCCGTAGCCTCCAGACTTGTCGCTGTGGCTGGAATCATGGTGCATAGATGACTCATCCTCATTGTCTCGTGCGCTGTACCATGCGGTCGCTTTGCGTATACTAGGCGCGCATGGCGGAGGAATGCGCGCGTTAGGCGAACCGTACGCAATGGTGCCGCGGGAGACTAAAGGACGAGTCTGGAACGCAGGAGGTTGGTCGGACGCTACTGCTGCTGATGTGGTACCCA